AGAAAGATTTCATCTAAGGCAAAGAAATTTTATTTTTTTTACAGTAAGAGCAATAAGGATATGAAATTCACTGCCTGAAGAGGTGGTTTTATCAGAGTCTATACAGATGTTTAAACTGCAATTGGGTAAATACTTGGAAAAAAAATAACATTCAGGGATATAATTTCTAATTAGTGGGGTAATAGCTGCTTGATCCAAGGAGACATCTGACTGCCATTTTGGGGTTGTGGCAAACATAGCCACTTGTAATATTCGGGACTATGCACATAAAAAGGTTGCCTGTATTAATCCCTGCAATGTCTTGTATAACTTGTCTGTACATGTGTATTAATGTATGTGTATATTGAATTCGTATGCTAGCAGCCGAAAGCCGCTAGCATTCATGGGTTTCGTTTCACGAACAGCAACTTTACCGGCTGTTCGAGAACCGAATGAGCTATTCCCTAATAGCCCACACACAGAGAGACGTGTGGCACTCGTTAACTGATTGCAACAGTGTTGCAATCGGTAATTAAAGGCATTCCTAGGTGGCCGTCGTTCGGCTACCGACCACGCGGCGGTCGGCCATCTTGGATCCTTTGTCTCACCAGCGGGGTTTGGTCGTCGAGTGCGTGGAACTGAAAATGGCTACTCGACGGCGCGAACCCCGCTGGACTTCCAGGCCGTTCGGGAGCTTCGGTATTCCCCTATTACGGTTTCCCATCGGTGTTCGGTAGTTTCTGGCGAACTCATGGGCAAAGTGTATTTCGTGCGGCGTTCGGATGTTTTAGCTGGGGTCTGAGCAGTATTCTCCCGAAAGGTGCGCTCAGACCCCAGCTATCTACCGAATGTCCATTCGTTTAAATCACCCAAGTATTGTAAAAATTATATATTTTAATGTGAAATGTCGGTTCTGCTGCACGGAGGGATAATCCACTTAACGGTACATTCCAGTGGGACTATCCCTCTCGTCCAGCAGTGCTTGATGGGAGAAAAGGTCTGAATGTTAAGTCCCCCATGTAGTTCCCTACTGTATTACCCCTGCTATGTCAGTATGGAAACCCCTTGCATGGGGACTTGCATAAATACAGGATGCTGTGAATAAAAACCTCAGTTGACTCCCAGAACTGTGTTTCGTCCGGTTACTGGGGGATTTGGGACATTGCCTTACTTTTCAGCGCTTGACTGTGGATTACCTTCTTTACCAGCGGAGTTCATGGTATTTAATATTGCCGCTCCGGTACAGGGGTCAAGAAGGAAGTTTTTCCTAGTTTGTTGCAAAATTGGAAGAGCTTCAGACTAGGTTTTTTGCCTTCTTTTGGATCAACAGCAAAAACATATGTGAAGGCTGAACTTGATGGATGCAAGTCTCTTTTCAGCTATGTAACTATGTACCTGCCAAAATGCAAAGTAATTCTTTATTTATTTTTTTAAATATATTGCCAGATTGATTATGCTGTATAGGTTATAGTGCATGGAGTCCTAGGTAACTTTTTTTTTCTTACTTAAGCTTTTTGGGGGGAGCGGGATTGGCATAGGATGTGTTAATCTTATAAAAAAAAAAAAAGTTGCCAACTTTGTTTATCTCTTTCTTCTCCCAGACTCTTTGTCTGGCTCTTTCTCCTCCTTTGTGTGTCTCTTTTTTCCCTTCCTTAGCTCCTCTGTGTGTCTCTTCCCTTAGCCCCTCTGTGTCTTTTCCTCCAGCCCTCTCTTTCCCTAGCCTGTCTGTGTGTCTTTGTCCTCCTCAGCCCTCTCTGTGTTTCTTTGTCCTACCAGAGCCCCTCTCTTTGTCTCTTTTAGCCCTTCCCCAGCCACTCTGTGTGTGTCTACCCCCCTCCCAGCACCTTTGTATGTCTCTCTTCTCCCACAGCTCATTTTTTAGTCTCTCTTCTCCCCCCCGCTCCTTTCTGTGTTTCTTTTCTCCCCCAGCTGCTCTTTGTGTTTCTTTGTCTGACCCAGACCTCTGTGTGATTATCCCCCCCCCAGCCCTCTGTGTGCCTCTCTCTTCCCCCCAGCTCCTCCATATGTCTCCTTAACCCCCCAGCCCCTCCATGTGTATCCTTAACCCTACCCCATGCCAGGTCACCTCCTCTGTATGTAGCATGGCTGAGTAGGGACTGCAGTAGAGGAGTTTCTTTCCTTCTACCTGGTCTGACAGGAAGTGCATGCTGAGAACAGAAGAATTACTTCCTGTCAGACCAGGAAGAGGGAAACAAGCTCCTCTCCTGTGGACCTCACTTGGCTGTGCGCTCCCCTCCTGACAGTCACGTGGGCATTGCCCCCACCCCAGCTGGTGCGCCCTTGGTGGTTGCCCAATCCGCCTAGTTGTCATGCCGGTCCTCGATGCAGATTAGTTCTCATATCACTAAGAATACTAACAGGGTTAAAGTGAGAATTCAGAGTGAATTTCAAACTTAAGGTCAAATTAAAGGGACACTATAGTCACCTGAACAACTTTCGCTTAATGAAGCAGTTTTGGTGTATAGAACATGCCCCTGCAGCCTCACTGCTCAATCCTCTGCCATTTAGGAGTTAATCCCTTTGTTTATGAACACTAGTCACACCTCCCTGCATGTGACTTGCACAGCCTTCCATAAACACTTGCTGTAAAGAGAGCCCTATTTAGGCTTTCTTTATTGCAAGTTCTGTTTAATAAGATTTTCTTATCCCCTGCTATGTTAATAGCTTGCTAGACCCTGCAAGAGCCTCCTGTATGTGATTAAAGTTCAATTTAGAGATTGAGATACAATTATTTAAGGTAAATTACATTAAGTCAAAGTGAAACCAGTTTTTTTTTCATGCAGGCTCTGTCAATCATAGCCAGGGGAGGTGTCGCTATGGCTGCATAAACAGAAACAAAGTGATTTAACTCATAAATGTCAGTGCATTGAGCAGTGAAATTGCAGGGGAATGATCTATACACTAAAACTGCTTTATTTAGCTAAAGTAATTTAGGTGACTATAGTGTTCCTTTAAATTTGAAATTCACTTTGAATTCTGACTTTGTGAATAACCCTGTAAGTGTATAAAATGGGATCATGATGTTACTATAGGTCATTGAGATTTCTGGAGTGTTGTATTTATAATCTACTTAAGTAGTTAATACAAGATGTTGAAGTTTATTACAGCCAAACGAAATGTACAGGAGCCAAGAAATGAAACTCACTGAACTCAAATAGTTTTCATTAACATATATTTTTGAAGCTGTAACTATGCAATCAGCAAAAGTCACATATTAGCCCTGTCATTTCCTGCGTTGTGTCCCTTTATGTTAAATAATTATTGAATGAGTTCAAATTCCTTCTGAACCGAGATAAACCCATTGACTATGTACATATGTCTCATGTGCCCTGTACTGTTTGAGGTGACTCATTTCATATTGAACATGCAGTGTATGCTCAGCGTGACAATAGTTCACTAATATCTACAAATCCATGCCTCCCAAAGGTCCTGAATTCGACGGGACAGTCCTGATTTTTGAGTGCTGTCCCACCTTAGTTACCTGCTGTCTCGATTTTGGAGACATCAGGGAACTGTCCCCAACAATCATCGCATGGGAGCATCATAAAACGCACTTGCATGAAAATTAGGGCACTAGGACCCGGCAGGGAGCACTGAAAGTGCTTGGCACCTGCCCACACTGCCAAAAGCACCAAAGCCTGGTTCAATGACCATGGGATTACTGTGCTTGATTTGCCTGCAAACTCGCCTGACCTGAACCGCATTGAGAATCTATGGGGCATTGCCAAGAGAAAGATGAGAGACATGAGACCGAACAATGCAGAAGAGCTGAAGGCTGCTATTGAAGCATCCTGGTCTTCCATAACACATCAGCAGTGCCACAGGCTGACAGTTTCCATGCCACGCCGCATTG